AGTAGTAGTAGTAGTAGTAGTAGTAGTAATAACAAATAATAATAAGTAGTAGTAATAATAATAATTAGTAGCAATAATAATAATAAGTAGTAGTAATAATAATAAGTAGTAGTAATAATAAGTAGTAGTACTGATAATAATAAGTAGTAGTAATAATAAGTAGTAGTAATGATAATAGTAATTAGTAGTAATAATAATAATAGGTAGTAGTAATAATAATAAATAATAATAAGTAGTAATAATAATAAGAATAATTAGTAGTAATAATAATAATGAGTAGTAGTACTAATAATAATAATAATAATTAGTATCAATAATAATAACAAGCAGTAGTAATAATACATGATAATAAGCAGTAGTAATAATAAATGATAATAAGTAGTAGTAATAATAAATGATAATAAGTAGTAGTAATAATAATAGCAATTAGTAGTAGTAATAATAATAGTAATTAGTAGTAGTAATAATAATAATTAGTAGTAGTAATAATAATAAATAATAATAAGTAGTAGTAGTAATAATAATAATTAGTAGTAATAACAATAATGAGTAGTAGTAATAATAATAGTAATTAGTAGTAGTAGTAATAATAATAATAATTAGTAGTAGTAATAACAATAAGTAGTAGTAATAATAATAATTATTAGTAGTAATAATAATAGTAATTAGTAGTAGTAATAATAACAAGTAGTAGTAATAATAATAATAATTAGTAGCAATAATAATAATAAATAGTAGTAACAATAAATAATAATAAATAGTAGTAATAATAAGAATAATTAGTAGTAATAATAATAATGAGTAGTAGTACTACTACTAATAATAACAATAATTAGTATCAATAATAATAATAAGCAGTAGTAATAATAAATGATAATAAGTAGTAGTAATAATAATAGTAATTAGTAGTAGTAATAATAATAGTAATTAGTAGTAGTAATAATAATAATAATTAGTAGTAGTAATAATAATAATAGGTAGTAGTAATGATAATAGTAATTAGTAGTAATAATAATAATAGGCAGTAGTAATAATAATAAGTAGTAATAATAATAAATAATAATAAGTAGTAGTAATCATAATAATAATTAGTAGTAATAACAATAATTAGTAGTAGTACTAATAATAATAATAATAATAATAATTAGTAGCAATAATAATAATAAATAATAATAAGTAGTAGTAATAATAATAGTAAGTAGTAGTAATAATAATAGTAATTAGTAGTAGTAATAATAACAAGTAGTAATAATAATTAGTAGCAATAATAATAATAAGTAGTAATAATAGTAGTAGTAATAATAAATAATAATAAGTAGTAGTAATAATAATAGTAATTAGTAGTAATAATAATAATAATAAGTAGTAGTAATGATAATAGTAATTAGTAGTAATAATAATAATAAATAGTAGTAATAATAATATAGTAATAATAATAATTAGTAATAATAGTAAGTAGTAGTAATAATAATTAGTAATAATAATAATTAGTAATAATAATAATTAGTAGTAATAATAACAATAATAATTAGTTATAATAATAACAATAATTAGTAGTAGTAGTAATAATAATAATAATAATAATAATAATAATAATAATAAT